CCACTGCTTGATTTATTGCTGCACTATGACTAGGTCCCTTCCTAGTTCTTTTTTGTCTCATTATTTCCTCATTTTAACACAATGCCTGGTGTAGGTATCTACAACTACTTCTCCTTTTGCCTCCTGATGTTGTTTACCACAGCTGCATCCAAAACTCTGAAATGTGCAGGACTGCTTACCTTGTTGTTGCTTCTTCTCCATTTAGTTGGCTGGTTCATTGAAGTAATTAAGATTGAACTGAATCTTGCACAAACCCCACAATTCAAATTTTCCTCTGGTCTGCCTTTGTTCTAATACCATGCAATCATTTAATATCGTACTATTCGGAGAATTTTTCAATGCAAGTGAAGAACCCTCATTTTGTCTACTCTCCCTGATTCATGAAGAATGATTTAGTCATTCTTTTTCCTTCACTTACTTCTTACCCTTCGTACATGACACCCTTCATGTAATTCTTTTCTATGTTTTCTATTTTAAGCTATGCTAATTGAAAGTGTTTTGCAAATCATCCTAAAGGCCATGAGATCAGTTAGTCTCTTCCTCTAATGAGTACAGCAGGAACAAAACCATTGACCTAAAAATAGCTTCAACTAGTTTAATATGCATCAGCCTGGTTATTCATATCTGTCCCCTGTGATCTCAACATTAAATCAAAGATGTTGAACTCAGATGTTAGCACAGATTCTTCTTGTTTTTCCCCATGTATACACTTGTATTTAAATTTCTGCCCCCAAGCCAAGGGGTTTCACATAATCCTTCATCTGAATCAATGCTTCACCAAAAAAAAGATAAAATAAAATAGTGATAAAACTCAGATCTGGAGGTCTGAAATCAGTTTGTATTATTAACACTCCTCTATTTTTTAAAATGATGGGACAATGATATTTTTCTAGTTGGTAGAAAAGATTATTCTATTCTTTGCTAATGTAGGCTTATAAATATGCCAAACTGCTGACAGTTGTATGAAAATTTAATACAGAATAGCCTAAACCCCATTTTTGTCACTCAATTTAACATGACTTTCAGTAATGTTAATAGTTCATTGCCTATTTATACACAGACTGTTGGCATCTAAAATAATACCAATAATGACATTTTCATTTGCCTTATTCTCATAAATTATTTCTGATACAAAATGGTTCCAGGAACAATTTAACAAAACTGCAGTATTAAACAATGGCAAACAATGCCATAAGGTTTTGAATCATGGAACCAGAGTATAGATTTATGTTTGCAAAGGAAAGAGTCATGTTCACCAAGATATCACACAGCCCAACAAACAACAGTGGCAAGATGAGCTCATGCAGAGAACTTTAGCATCTTCACTGGTCATGAAGTCTCAGGATTAGAGCTCTACAGGCAAAGAAATAAAATTGCTTCTTAATTCTAGACCCTCACCACCACAGAAATGTTCACAACACATTAGCACATAGAAAAAAATATTAATATGGAAAGTGGCTTATGGAATGCTAAACTGCTTCAAAGGCAGAAGAGAATAAAGTAAAAGGAGAATGTTATGATGACCCTAAGACATATGAAGTTCTTTTCAGCAATAGGGCATGAAAAAATAGGTGAAATTTTTGACATGAAAATGAAATGTAGTTTCTCCTTTTTTTACAAAAAAAAGAAATTCAGAAAAGAAGATGACAGGGATCAAAATCCTACTATGTTCAAGTAGGTTTTCATTACAGAGGCTGTAGTTACTCCCTAGTTTAATTCCCTATACGATAGCAACTGCTATATAAGAGCTTTTCAAAAAATCTTCAAAAATAGGTAATAAATATCTTAGTTCTCTATCTCTGTAATATCTGGGTGATTACCTTTGGGGATCTAATCATATATCTTAACTTCCTATTTACATTTACTTTGAAAGGAACAGAACTCTAAGGACATCAACTTTCATTCATGCTATTGCCTAAAGAACTGGGAAATCTGTTGTATAACCACATAAGGTATTTTGCAATTAAAAAAACCCCAAAACCAAAACCACTACACAACAAACCTAGGTCAATAGCACTTTTTTTTTTGGTAAGCTTTCTGCAAATTTTGGCAAACAAGATCATCCAGATGAATGCCAGCACTAAGACCTACATTATTTATTTCTTTTTTCCAGTCAATGGTAAATTCCCCACCAGCAATATCTGGTTTTAAGTTGTTATATGTGAATATGCACATGGAATTTGCATATTTCACTTGCTGTCACTATTAAGGAAAACAAGGTGGCACTGCACCAGTTTTCTTCAGCAATATCATGTCTTTTGGAGTCATTATCAACAGTCTGTAGGAATCACAGTAATTCATTTCTGCATGGCTGATGAGCCATAATTAGCTCCACTGAACAAATAATGGTGGAGAGAAGCTGTATTACTGTACATAGGTGAGCTGACTGGGATCAATCCTAACAGATATACAGTCTCTCTGTGCTGTGAAAGGGAGAAAAGAATGATCTCTAAATATGTAAGTTTTAAAGGCTGCACTTTCCAAGGCTGGTGGTGGTGGTTCTGTTGGGACCCTGAGATAGCTGTGCACCACAGCAGGCAGAGCAACCTCCACATCCAGCAAAATACCACCCTCATCCCTTCCCACAGTCCCTGTCCTGCTGACAAGATGATGGAGCAATCCCCCTTTGGAGACTACTGGCAAAGTAAGCAAGTTTTTCACTGACAGTAGACACCAAATCACCTTGTTTTGCTTATAAAATAGAACACAAAATAATATCTGCTTTACATACAATGATTTCTGAGACTATTTCATCCATTTTCATTTAAAGGAAAGACAGTTTTTTCAGTCATTTTGATAGAAACATCACAATCCTACATGGTTAGACACACTCTTTGTACTGTAAATATCATACAAACATATTTAATTTTGCGAACTAGTTAACCTAGTTCATGTGTTCAAGACATTCAGTAAACGATTATTTCATTTTTACTTTGAACTGTAAGGAGAAAGAAAGTGCATTTTTATGGCAACATTTGCATTTTTTTTCTCCAAATTCCCATTAATTTGGCTTACTGGAAAGTGTTCATTATTATGCCCAAACTTTTAATTACACGTCTCAGATGTGTACTTTTAATTAACTGATGACATTTTCTTTGTTCAATTATTGTAGTTCAATACAACTGTCGTAAACTTATAAATTTTAATTAAAGCTGCCCCAATCTCTAGCTATATAACGCTCACATAGGGATTTGCCAAAAGGCTTAACAGTAAGTAAACCAACAGTGAATAATCCCTGAATTGCCAGTGGGATTTGTTTAACAAATTAACATTTGTGTGCAGATAATGAAGTTCTACAATTTAACACATCCAGCAAAGATTTAGCACAATCATGTTTTAAAAAATGAGTAATACTCTGCAATTTACTTAATTAGTTATCACATTACTATTCCATATTAGGTGGGGAAAGAGAAGAGGATTTACATATTCACTAGGACACACACATTGACCAGAATGTTTTATTTGGACCAGAATATGATGCAAGGTTTGTTCTCAGGATCTCACTTCCTCAGTTTTTGAGCCAGAAGCCAACAGTCAGGAGATTCCCTGACTCTTGGGAAGGTCTCCAGTAGTGGGGACCCTACAGAAGCATCTCCTTGTGAGGCTGAATTTATTGGCAGTCCCCAAGCTTTTCACAGGGCATGTGTGTAAGATGACACTTGTGACATTCACTGCATCAAAGCTATTTGAGTTGGATAATCTACAAGTATTGACAAGGGCAATCAGAGCTTCTCAGAAAGAGTCAAGCAAGCTGAAATCACCACAGGACATTTATATTCTGTAGATAGGCTTTGGATTGGCACACACACACACACATATGACTTCTGCAACTTCCAGAGACAAAAGCTGCATTGTTTCAAACAAAAAAAAAACCAAACAAACCAAAACAAAAAACCTGTAAAAAAATATAAAATTGGGAAAATTGAAACTTGCTCACATGAGTTTAGCAGGACAGTTTGATGAGCTAATTGTATAATGGATCAGAAGCATAACTGCTACTTTTTGAGGAACTGCTTGTGAGCATTGTAGCACAGGGGGAGGTGTGCACAGAGAGCAATAGCACAGCAGATCCAAGTGAAATGATATTGAGCTGAGTTTATTTCAAAACAGCAATTTCATACTTTACGGAAACGTGAGGGAACTCTCTACCAAAAACCCCATTTGCAATGTACCTATGGGAACCTATGGGATGTGTCACTTGAGGACATGGCTTAGTGGTGAACCTGGCAGTGTTGGTTTAATGGTTGGACTCAATCATCTTAAAGGTCTTCTCCAACCTTAATGATTCTGTTGCTATCAGAGAATTCAACCTGGTAGGACAAAATATTGCAAAATCTAGACACTATAATGCTGAAACTCTAAAACTGTTAAAGAAAAACTGAGTAATAAAGAACTTTCTTATTCCTACACGTAGCAACGTGCAGGAATAAAGTCACCTATAGACTTATAACTCTCATAGGAACCTGACAATGCAGATCAACTCTGCCTTGAAGCTGAGATAAGGAGAAGGAACACTGCTCTGGTCTGGATTTCACACCCTCAGTGGAACTGCAAAAGGCTTGGCAGCCCCTGAAGCTACACAGGCACTTGCTGAGCACAAGGACTGAAGGACATGCACAGTGTTATATTCCACTGGAAAGAGGAAATGGTTGTTGCAAAAAACCTTGAATTCAGCTTTGTTGACTTAATTACAGTTTTTAATGCTTTTAGGGAGTCCAGTTTAGCTTCCATCTGTAAGATACATAATGGCCTGAGTATATCATGGATTAGATTAAACTAGGATAAAGGGACATCTCACTGGCATGCTAGTTTGCTTCAGTAACACAGGATTTATGGCCTGATATAGATAAGAAATGCAGTCAGATAAGAAATAGAGATTTCTTCTTAATAGAATATTTACAGGGTCCACGGGCTAGGCATGCAAGGAAGATGAGATGTGGATCAACCTGAAAATTTTATCTGGAATATTGGATGGAGTCAGTGTGATTTTGAAAGATATACAGCCTTTTTTTTTCACATTTCCAGCACATGAAAGTTATGGCGTGGGCTTCAAGGCATGGTTACCCTCATGAATTGGAAATGGCAGCTAGGACATCAGGTTAACTTGAAATATGATTATTAAAAATTTGATGAAACTGTTAAGGGGACACAGCACAGCAGAAGAATACTCCTATCAGCAGGTATGTTGTCATCAGACCTAGCTCTGTGCTGGTCTCAGCTCATAAAGGCACACTTTGGTCATGTGTGGTACAGTAAACTTCAGCTGCTGTTAAAGGTTCAGATTCCCCCAAATCAGGCAATTGAACAACAAAATGTAGACTGTGGTGACATCCATACTGTTTTCCTGATATAATTTTGCTGCAGGCACAAAATCCTGTTTGAGACCAAGAATCAGGCTGATGCTGCATCCCCAGACCCACTGCAGCAGTTGGGACGTGGTGAAAAAGTTAGTAGAAGTGTATTGCAGAACCTGCTCCTATCTTGCCTTTACCCACTGGTGACAAAACCTACTGCCCTAATTATTTCAGCAAGGCTGAGAGATTTCTGAGGTTGGACTTAGCAGGAAAATAGGAATTAAAAATATCCAGGCAATAGCATTGCTGTGTGAGCACAGCAAGTGTTAGCTGCCTGGGAAAGGGAAAACAAACTGCTGGAGGTGAGTGAGCACTATGGCTACTGCCAAAAGAAAAGGATTAAATAAAACCCTGGGGTCTTTGCAGGACTCAGAATGAAGCTGAGTTCCAGGAGCCAAGTTATTAATTTTATTAAGCCTTTTAACCCCACAAAAGAATCAATTAAATGCCAGACATGTAAAGATGTGGGAGTAAACATCCTCTCTTCAGTTGAGGAGGAATGCTCCATTCACTTGCATGTCCTCACTTAGCATGTATTGATCTCATTACATTGATAAAAATTGCCACTTATCATTTGTGTCAGTAGTTCCACCAGCTGTTAGAAGCTGTTTAAAGGACAATTAATCAATTTCAAGTACAAGTAATTCCCATTTTATAATATTTAGTCATTATTATGAATGTAGCTATGAACAACATTATTAACCCTCAACCACTCAGAACTGAAAGAACAGATTACTAAATCTGCATTTACTTGGAATTTTGCCACCACATTTTGGTCAATAAGTAGAGGCTTCAGAGGAGTCAGTAAGTGAGGCTAAATTACTCAACTACATATGCTGGAGTTAATTAGTAAGAAGTGCTGAGGAAAATGTTATGATCTAAGCCTCCTCTGTCACAGAGACTCAGATACATAACTGCATTACAGGGAGCTCTCTCTGCACTGAACAACCACAAACTTCTCCAAGTTAGGTGCTTGTACTTCTTTTTCAGAGATCAGGTTGTTGGTCATTTCAGCACACAGGAGAAAATGATTCACCTCATTCATCTTCAGCTGCTGATAGCTTCTGAGAAGAAGAAACTAGACAACAAACTCTTCTCCAGCTGTTCTACCTTGAATCAAATATTTAAATATTCCTTGAAGCAGAAAACAGAATTCATCTTCTTCTCACAGAATTTCTAACTTTTAGAACGCTCTTATCACACTTTTTCTCCCTAGCCCAAACACTAATTGCATTATACAAGCTACAAAACCTTAGTGTTAGGGACAAAGATCAACTGTCAAATCCTCACTTTTTAGCAACTAGAGTAATCTCCCTGAAGATAAGAGATGTAATTTCAAATCCCTTCAGGAAAATAAAGGATCTGAGTTCTCATCAATTAAATCTTCCTGAGAATTAGATGAGTAAAATTCCTATTTCATGAATTCCAGTAAGACAAAGGTAAAAGATTAAGGCCACAAAATTGAAGGTAGTATCTCTGTATGCATGTAAATATAGGGGGAGAATCAAAATAAGGAGATAACAAGAGGTCAGCTTGTTTCAGATTAGTTTGACTGAACCTTATGTTTTATAATTCCATTTGTACACCCCAGCACATGTATCTTTATATTGACTATTTACTTATATACTCCCTTTTCTGGGATGCAACTTAATTCTGCTGAAACACCAAGTAAGTGAATGAAAAGCACCATTGATTACAATGTATATGTGTGATATATACTGCTATTTTACACATCATTTAAGCACAAACGAGAAAATAAGTTGCAAAGAGGAAAAATATCCCAAACAAGTTAAAAATTCAAACATTTAAGGCAGGAATAATAGTAAGAGAGAACTGCTCAGAAATATTTACCGAGTAGAGAGGCTCCACAGGTTCCTCCATTCTGGCAGTAGTTGTAGCAATGGTTAGTTTCACACCTTTCTCCAGAGTAACTTGGCCAGCAGTGACATCGAGGATCTCCCTTCTCGTTTATGATGCACTTCCCTCCATTTTCACAGGTTAATTTACAGGTATCATCTGCAGCAAGAACACAGAGAGTGGTTCAACAACCCCATTTCATGTAACAGACAAAATAGAGCCTCGTCTCTTAAATAGAGCTGCAGATCTCTATCCGTGCAGGGAAAATACTACTTTTCAAAATGGAGAAAGTAAACTATCACTTCTGTTTCCACAGTGCTAGAAAAAACCCACACCAAGGAGACTATAAGCCCTGGAAAAGCTGTCATGAGATGCAGAGTTGGTGGGAGTTTGCACCCTACTGAGCTGAGGCCTCTGCATGGCACATCCAAATCATGCCATGGGGAAGTTGACCTCCCTAGGGTCTAAGTATTGACACTATGAATTCTTGTTTGAAACTGTAATTCCTAGTTAGCTTAAGAAGTAGAAAATTGAATGCTGGTTTCACCTGAGGGAACCTCAGAAAACATCCCAGTCATTTTCTGGTGACCTCAGCCTTTTCCTATTAGTTTTTTTGGATCTCACTTCCACTCTCTCTATTAACTAACAGCCTTCTTAACTAAGCCCTATCCAAAATACTGACAAGGAAATTACTCAGCCTTTAAATCCTCCTCAAAAATTGATATTTGCATACTAACTTGTTGCTCCTAAATTGTATTTTCTGATTATTCCTTCTTCTCATCTGCTCAGACTGCAAAATCACTGAGAAGGGATAACTGCCTGCTGCTCTGCATCCACTCACTGCTTACAGCAGCAGTGCCACCACCTTAGCAGAGGTATGAGGTGACACAAATTCTGATTAGGCCAGATTCAATCTTCCTAAAAAGCTGTTTCATAATTAGAATTGTGCCTCTCTTAGAAACACTTTGAAAAGTAAACCTCTATTCATTCCAGTGAACGAGAGAGAAAATCATTCAATGATACCAGCAAGAAATTAATTACAGACTAGCACACGTACAATGCTCAAACATCCAAATAACTGTAATCCTAAAGAAACAGACAAACACCTTTCAGCCCAAAACATGCTTTCAGCAATGAGACCTTTCATTTCTCACACAGCAAAACAAATCCTGTGAAGCCAGACTGCTTCCTAACTAATCCAGCATTTGAGCCTACATGGCTTTTAACAAGAAGGACACCATAAGCACTGAGAACTCTTCAGTAATACATGCCCCAGCTGCAGTTGTTTTAATGAATTCATCTGATTCAGTCAAAGAAATAATGAAAAAATCAAGGTTTCCCTTTGTCCCATACTTGTTGAGGTGCAAGATTGACTGACACGACACAGGCACAACAACTCTTTCGATGTTTAAAGAAACACATTTTGTTGCAATGCAGAATTTAGGAATGTTGGATGTCCTCTAGCTGAATACTTCTCTCCAACATGATCTCTGCAGAGCTCAGGAACCCTTTCTTTAGATGCACCCAAGTCTCTCTTTCTCTGCAGGATCTGTTGCCTCCTTTCATGGCCAGTGCTGAGATGGTACAGACATATAACCTGGGATCAAACCTGTTTAAATGAAACCTCTGGAAACTGTCATCCTTCAGGTAATTGTACCTTTCTCAAATGAAGCTGAAACTAGACAGCAACTCTAAAGTTCACTGTGGTGAACTGACCGACACATTGCTATTTCATGTGTTTTACAAGAAAAATAGGAAATCCTATTTGCACTTGATTTTTTGATAGCCACCCTGGATATATACATCTGCTGTAACAAAGCTACTTTGTGTATTTGGGACTTTGAGGATGTTTCAGTGTTTTATTTATTTGGGTGGCTCATTAAATCCTTTGATGTCCCATGAACCATTCTTCGGTTACTCATTATAGAAGTAGTTTGAATGGATAATGTAGCACATCTTATTGGAGAGAAGGTCTATTTTTGTTTTGCTTATCTTATCTGTTTTACTTATCATTAGTCATGAGTTTATGGAGCAGAACTCAGTAAAAACCAGAATAAATAACAGTGGAGTACAGACAACTGCTCATTTTTATGAACTTTTCTGATAGTGCATTAAAAACATGTTGTATTTATCTTCTAGAGCAATTTCACAGAATTAAGACATAAAATTTGAAGAGAAAATATGGAAATTACGACTGATTTTGTTCTCTATGAGACATTTGAAATTCAAGAGTTTCCACACAAATCTACTATGAAACAGAGAAAAGTTACGACAACAATTTTGAACTTTAAATGAGCTAAGAAATAGGTTTGAAAGATGCAAGGGATAAGCCAGTTTTAAAATAGTATGTTAGACTTTAGCAACATAGGGAGTTTAATGCTGCTGCTTTGTTGTCTGAAGGTAAATACAGGAAACAAATTACACTTGCTGATTCACATCAACTGAGTACAAAAAGAGACCAAATGCTTTTGTGTGGGAGACATGAGCAGAACAGTCCCATATGAGAATACAGGAAGAAAGAGAATACAGGAGAGAAACACAGAAGACCTGGTACAAAAAGCTGAATACAGTTAATTTGAATTACTGAATAAAGACCTGTGAAAGGAGAGCTGAAAACAGCTCTAGCAAGCACACACACTTGGAACAAAGTTTAGAAAAAAAAGAAAATCAGAAAAGTTTCTATCTGAAGTTTCTATCTGCTCTGAGCTTGCTGGAACTGTCTCAAAGACCTCTCAGCTGCTCTTTTCACTTCTGACATGACAGAAGTGAATAATTTCACTTGTTATCCTACCCCTAGTCTAGCTACTGGATGTCTCCAACATGAAAGAAAGGAAAGGATTGAAGGTCGTGTAATTTTATATATTCTGTCCAAATCTGGTTATTTACCCTTCTGCTGCCTTGATTTGTCCATTTAAATCTTAACATACATTTAATAAAAAATAAAATAATTTTGATTTGCAGTTTTTCTCACTTTTTTCTTCCTGCTAGGACTGTTAGACACAAACATTTATGGACTTTGGCTTATCTGCTCCATCTTTGACTCCTTCCTTTTACTGAAAGCAAAAGGAAAACCTTACACTGAAAAACCACAGATGAAACAGCAGATCAAAGCTTTGTGAAATCTACTGGAATTTCTTCCTTCACTCATTCAATTTTTTGATATTCCATCCCTCTCCTCCAATTATACATAAATATCTTTTATTGGCATTTCTCTAACTCTTTCTTGAGAAAAATGCATTTTACCTTTTGCTATTTTCTTCCCTTTGAAATATCCACTCATTTCTGGACTAGGCAAGTTTAATGGAGAGATGATGCTATAAGGCTCATGACATACATTCTTTGGGATAAGAACAGTCTCCCTCCCCACAGACGAAAATACTCATCCCATGGGGCAGAAAGGTATTTGCTCTTGCCTATCCTTCAGACAAGGGTGTAGTTCATCCTTCACTGAGCTGAATGCACCTACTAAAACCAGAGTGCAGAGTTCTAATGTTATGGTAAGGCTGTATAAATCTTCCTGTTCCTCCAGATGAGAGTCTTACTACCTGACAGTTTTCCATTTGCTGAAATGTATCAAAACAAGCTTTTATCCTCAAACTTTGTCTGAATGCTGTAAGACAGATGCTACACTCTGTTGTCCCTTCACATGCTGCAACCAAAAGAATTTTTGCAAACCAGAAGCAGATTTCTGTGTGACCTCTGTTCTATTTGGTATCTAAGAAGGCTGAAAGCAGGACAAACCCCAAGAAGACAGCATGGATTGAACTGCCATAGCTATTGATCCCTGGGGCAGACTTTGTGGGTGAAAAAGAAGCTATACAGGGATTAACCTCTGCATCCCCAGCCAAAGCACTTGGGCCACCTGCAATCTGTGTGTGCAGTGGGCAAGTCCCCACAGAAACCTGCTGAAGGAAACAACATGATAAAATAAATGTTTCATCTCTGCTGAGAAGCAACACCACAGATTTGAGTCTTTGTGATTTTTCCTCAGGCTTCTTATTCAGCCAAGAGAGTAGAAATATTCCTCTCTTAAAAGGAAAGTGATAAACGCAAAGCTCCAGAACAGGGAACACTTGGAAATGTTCATTACTCTTACTCATTCAGCTGTGGCACACATTGTCTTCCTCCAGTGTAAGTCTCTCCATTTTCATCCTCTTGGTAGGCTTTTAGCTTCATTGTGCTACAGACAATTAGATATGAGAAACCTAATGGATGCAAATCCAGGGCTCTCCTTTAGGAAACTGAAGTGGTTCTCTGCCCATTTGAAAACTAAAGGGTAGCTTCCAAACTGAAAAACTCAGGCCTGCTATAGTCAATAAATAAATCCAAAAGAATTGTGCTCTGTTAGTCACAATCCTCAAGGGAGAAATGAGCTTTTCTAAGAACACACAGGAACTTGTTTTCATTTTGTTATAAAAACATTCTGAATGATGCAGCACACATCTATTGTAATAACTCCAGCTTGAACACTCCAAATCAAACCCCAAATCTGTTTCTCATCAGTTGTGTGATATGCTGGTGAAACAGCTGACTGAAGCAATCTGGATACAGTCTTACAAAAAGCCACTGAGGATTCAATATTTAGAATTCCTCATGTAGGACTTATGAAAAAAAAACCCAAAACCACAACTGAATGGACCAAGTCAGAAGTAATTTTATGCAGAATTTTAGGACTTAGTTAGTTTCTTTCTGTTAGGAAAAGTAAACCATCAAAACAAAAAAAAAAAAAACCCACAAAAAAAAAAAACCAAACTCCAAAAATTCCACAAAAATCCATGAAAAGAAGTTCGGAGTCAGAATTTGGAATATGGTCACAAGAAATAGATCAAATCTGAAATTACCTCCCAGTCACCAACCTTTATGGTAGATAGACCAAGAAGAAATTGTGCTAAGTGTATAAAGCATCTTTAAAATAATCATGCTGAAACCTAGCAAAAAAAAGAGGCTATTTGGAGGTCAACTCTGATCTCTCCAGGAATCTCTGCTAGTCTTTGGGAGCCTAGGTGGAGTGTCAACATGAGACAAATACTTGACATCCACTTAATTTTCTTTTAAAAAGTCAAAATAGTGCAAACCCATACAGTTTTTAGAGTGCTGTGAAACAGAGGTTTGTTTCAATTCATAATTTATAATGTGTGGGCCTACAAAACCTGCAATCTGCTATTATAAAAATAATATACGAAACCAAAATGTACAAAAACCCTAAGCTACACATTATTTGAAATATAATTGTAAACAAAAACCAAAGAAACACTTGTTCAGCAGCCCTTTAAAAAGTCATAACAGATATTGCAGCTCTGGGAAAGTACTGAAAATTATCAATATATTAAAAATGCTTCTCTCGGCATTTTCTCTCTCTAAAAATTTATAACCAGCAGTGAAGTAATTTTAAAGCCTCTTCAGATATTTCTCTAATAAAAACACACCTTCCTGAAAACATTACCATGACATAATCCTTTGTCCCACTAGTAAAACCACAGCATTACTGAAATTATGGGTTCAAATTACTACAGTTCAGCAGTGAAAAACAATACTGTTTTATTTGTCCATTCTTCTACATCTAAGTAGTAACTATGGGTAATTTGAAAGACTTTTTTGGGTGGTGCTGTGGCAGCATGTAATCTTGACAAGTATCACAGAATCAATCAGACTGGGAAAAAACTCTGAGATCATCAAGTCCAATCTATGACCTAACATCACCATGTCAACTAGACATGGCACTTAGTGCCATGTCCAGTATCTCAAACATCTCCAGGAACAGTGATTCCACCACCTTCCTGGGAAGTTCATTCCAGTGTCTAACCACTCTTTCTCTGAAGAAATTCTTACAAATGTCCAAACTAAACCTCATCTAATGCAGCTCAAGGCTATGTCCTCTCTGCCTGTCACTTGTTGCCTGGGAGAAGAGGCCAATTCCCACTTCCCACCCAACTCCTTCAGGTAGTTGTAGATAGCAAGAAGGTCCTCCCTGAGTCTGTTCTCTGGGCTAAACACCCCCAGTTCCCTCAGCTGCTCCTCATATGACTTGTGTTACAGACCATTTACCACCTTCGTTGCGCTTCTCTGGACTCAACCTGAGATGGACAAAGAGCTGACACACTTGGAGGGGCAGGGAGGGTGTTCAGACAGTTTTGTGTCAAAAGTTGAGTAGCTTTATTGATACCACATCATAAACAACAGAAATATCATCCTGTTAATTCAATATTTAAAGACTAGGCAGTATAGCTCAGTGAGATTTTCTACACAGAATGATGGCATTTCAAGTAAATTAATTTAATTGCTAAATTGAGCATATTAAGTACCGCGGATCTCACCAAAATATCTATGACTTACACCTCTAAGGCTGGAATTAAAGTTCAGAATACCATCATAACACATATAATACAGGTAAGAAACACTATTCTGTGATTTCTAGTACATTTTAATACTCAAGCTGGCTAAGAATTCATTCCAACAGTCTGACCATCTTTGGTTTGGCCTAAATTAGAGTGAAAACAGTTTTAAAGTACTTAATAATTGCATGAAATAGATTTCCCCCACTAAAATATAGAAGAACTTAGTATCTCTTGTCCCATGAAATCTGGTTTTCTGTGCCTTGATATTACTCATTACATATGATACCAAAAGATATACCTTTAGATAAAAGTATTTCGGTTGCTTTTTTTCTTTCTTTGCCTCTTACTTCAAAGCCATTATTATTTGCTATGTTGCTCTCTCTGCCCTTTGGCTACTGCTGCAGTGTAAGCAGAGGTGTTTCTTGATGGTCTTTATTTTTTTCTTCCCCCAAATGACTAATGTTTAATTTGGGATCCAAAACACTTCAGAGTTTTCCCACATTTTTTGTCAATATGTATACACATTGACTTTTAAGTATCATCTTGTATTGGTTCAGCTGAAAGCTCGTTTTTAAATTTGATGAATATCAGCAGGGATTTTTTTTGCATCTGGGATTTTGCTTCTTCATATTTCCTTTCCATTTCAGCTAAGTAACAGGCATCTTGAACAACATCACAAAACTGTGGACTCACAGACAACACAGCCTTTTGCTGTGACAAAAACTGACCAGTTGTTTATTTTCTAGTTCTCATGCAGTTTTCAATACCTACCTAAGAGACTCTGATCAATGCATGTTCCATTCATCAATGATTTTCCTTCTGGACAAGCACATGTTGCACCAGATGGATTGAGCAAACAAATGAATTCACATGTCAGGTCCAAACATGGATTAGGCACTGTTGAAAAAGACAAAATATTAACAATCTTGATTTAATTTGCTAGAATTTGGAACTCTGTTCTAAAGGTAGGACAAGAAAAGTAATCAGATATAAAAATTCTGATACACTTCCAGTGTCCAGGATATCAACAGCATAAAGCCTATGAAGACTCATTCAAACAGCAGTGCAAGGCTCACAGAGGGATAGAATTTATTCCAGTAACAACAAATGCACTGGCAATATGGAGTAAAAAACTTCATCTGCTTGTGGCTAGAGGTATTTGCATTCTGCTCTCTTCTAATTTTTATGCATTTACAGAGTCAGTACACAAAGCATTTATGTACACATTTGTCCAATGTCCTTTCAAATGAGCGAAAACGCACCAAAAAATATCAGTGAAACTTATATAAAGAAACATGACCAAATCTATTTTCAGTTGGGGTACAATCAGGCTCTGTTTTATATTGATACAACTTGGTTACTTTTCTCCCCCCTGAGGTGAATGTGCACAATATGGAGTTTCAAGTAATTATGCTTACTCACAGTCCATTTGTTTGTAGCGGTGAAAAATCAAGGCACTTTTTGCTTTATCAACATCCACACTTAGATATTCTACAAGGCTCCTGCCAAATTTGTGTACTCTAAATGCACCATTTTTAGGACCTGCTCCATATATGTAATCCTCAAAAATGTCGATTCTATGTGGATGCAGTAAACCTTGAATAAAAATGGATAAGAAATGCAAATACATATTCAGATGCAAATACAAATAACTTATTTTAGTAATGACTTCAATCACATTATAGCAATTGCCACCTAAAGACATGATTATTCAGTCAGCTTGTATTGTACCCACCTTTGAAAAAGCAATCTGCTTAAAAGCAACTCTTCCCATACTACAAGCAACAAAAACCTTAAGCTTTGTATTAGTTTTCCACACAATTTAGCCTCAGCAACTAGGAAACCCTATTGTAACAATTTGCTAATTAGAACATAGGTACAACACTTTAACTAGAAGTATGTGACAAGGAAGAAATAGATAATTTTGCCTTACATCAAAGAAACTATTCTGACAAAACATTTCTTCGGCTCCTTCTTAGCATATCTGAAATGCTAGGTTTTGTCCTGCAATTATTTTAATTCATAATTATAGTAAATGAATGCAAAATAAATTGGTAACTCTGCCAATTCTTCATTCTTAAGAGCTATGAGGGCTGATTAGACCTCATAGTTGGATTCCCTGGGCACAACTGGCTGTAGAATTGCACATATTTAGCCATGTAACAAGTCAATAACTTCTAACTAAAACTTCTTTGCCAGAAATACATCTCTTTTTGAAACCATAAACAGAACCTATCATTCCTTATGATACCTTGTTCCTACAATTATCCCTATTTTCTGTGAAAATGCTTTTATATTTCACTTAGTTAGTTTCAATCATTAGTCTTTTTTTGTTCCTACTCTCTTCCGAACTATGAACACTTGCTACTCATTATTGTATTTCAATAAAAATATTTATGGATTCTAATTCAATATTTTATGCTTGTTTAATTAAATGGGTTGAAGTTTTTAGTCTTGTTGCAAAACAGTTTATAAACTCCCCCAACTTTCCTTTGGCTTGGTGTTACAGAGGGTTGTAGTCAGATACCTACACTCAAAGTGATCTTTCTTCAGATGACTACATATACACAGATTGATCCAAGTGGTACAACAAAATGCTTTTAAACAAAAACAAGATTATTTAAATCTGGTCCTGCTCAATTTAGATATGGGAGATCTCTCCAAGGATATTCCAGAATACCCTGGTAAATTCCAGGTAGTTGGTTAAAAAGCTCAATAGGACTCGATGAAATATCACACTGATGAAGTTCCAGTACCAACTGCCTGCTAAGCAATCCACCCCAAAAGGCTAATTTCAAAGGCTTTTGGAAAGGAACTTTCCTCATTCACATTCTGTTAGGAGAATTCTGTGATTACTTACTGACCTGAAAGCCAAGCCCATTATTTCTCCCAGAATGGTTTCAGATCAACTGTTCTACAAACTCTTACTACTCCCATTCAATGCAGACAGTTCTAATTTCTCAGTCAAGGTTCTCCTGTTGCTATGTAAGTCCAAGTGAGATCAAGCCTAAATATTAGCCACAATGTTATTTGGTAATACCTAAGCTAGTGATTAGACAACAAATTTGGAGATTTGCACATATAATTGGATCTCTGTTCTGCTAAAATAATGTTATTAGATTATCTTCTAGTGAAAATTATCTTAAACATCTATTTGTTTAGATAATATCTGAAGTATTGTCTGACAAAAGCAATAAATATGGCTTAATAATCACTGCTTTTTGTTTACATAATATTCTCTGAACAGTGAAACATCAGGCAAATAAACTAAAACAGGAATCACATTATAAAAGAAGCTCTTCCTACCTTGCTTAGTGCTCACAGACACAACTGAATCAGAACCATCAAAAAGGACACTGCCAATAACAGATAATTCAAAATCAGCCCAGAACAAACGCTGGCTGAACTGATCAACTACAAGACCTACAAAGAAAATAAGGTTCAAATAGGTATATAAAACCTGGGAAAATAAATTCATAGTTTTACATAACTGTACATTTTTATAGTATTTATATTCTTGTGTACACAAAATATGGTGACAATGAAAAAAACCACGACTGGAAAACAAGGAGAATAAAATCTAACACCTTCTACTCAAACCTTCCTCTTGGGGCAAATGTGGTATTTTATTCTCTTTAACTTGCTCTTCCAAGGTCAGTATCTTTCCTAACCCATTATCCTCAGCAGGTAGGGATATATACCAGGTGGGAATTAAATATACATTCTAAACCTCTAACTTGCTCTACCAACAAAAATCCATTATCCCAGTAGATTTCTAAACAGCAGCACCAGTGTGATCATGTGTGAAAAACTAAACATTCAGAATCCACAGAATCTTCCTAACCTCTCCTGTTTCCACCTTTATATTTCTCATTTTTATCACCAACACTTCACATGCAGTAACTATTGCAGAATTGAAAATCAGAATATTGTAACTACATTAGTGCAAGACTTAACCAGCAATATTGAAAGATATATTTATTCACCTATATATGAAAAGAAAGCACAAGAGTGAGTGACTGAGAGCACAAATGAGAACACAAGGTAGACAACATTAGGACTATCCAGCCCCTAGGCAATGCCTAAATAGTTAAATCAAGTAGTCTGTGATTCACAGAGGATGATTACATGATTAATATGGCATTTTAGGTCATGTCAGAAACTTCAGCCTGAAAAAAAATATTTGAACTGTAAAATAATTTCCTTCTCAGCTTTTGAAGTTGTAGTGTATTTTTAATAAGAATGGGGAAAAGTACTTTGCTTCCTATTTATGTAAGTAGGCAAGTCAGAAAAAAATACATCAAAAGAAATTATACATAACAGCAGAAATACTCCTCTTAAGGTCATAAATTAATCAGCTACAGGTAGATGAGAGGAAGTGGAGGATGTCTGACTCACAGACCAGTGAAATATGTTTACATTTGAAACTCCATTAAAAAACTCTTTAAGAGAAACACTAGTGTTCAGGGATACAGCTAAAGAGAATAATTTCAGGTAAAAGGCAATCACAGAGTGTCAGTTCTGTGTGATCCATGGTACCTGTAAAGGGGGAGCTTTCAAACCAGTCCCCACTCTCCAGCTTTAAATTACTTTTTGCATTTTAATAAGAATATTTAGATGCCAACTAATAAATAACTAACATTCTCAATGTATCTTTCACAGTATCAGAGATGAGACACTACAAAAAAGTGTTTATTTTTGTTTTATACCTATAGCACTCCCATGGTAGTAATTTTTATGTAAATCCTGTGAAGTCAAACCCAACTGCTCAAACTCTCATTCTTTCTAAATTGAAATAGGAAAGGCATATGTTGTAATAAATTTAAGAGCAGCGTAAACAATAGTAGTAAAGTCTTATTTGGGAGAAAATAATAAATCTTTGGATTCTTTCTTTGCATTCCCTCTACAGAGACATGGATCTGTGTGAAATAGCTGACAAAAAAGATTTCAAAGACTCCACAAACATCTACTTGCTACCATGATGCAAAGGAAGAAAAAAACCACAGAAGTGTTTTCTGGCAGCAGGTATGGAAATACGCAATATCATGGTGAGGTATTTGTGAAATTCCCTCTTTGCAAAGTCTGCTCAATTTTGGTAAGTCTGAGGTGATTCTTCTCCTGTACTCTGCGCTGGTGAGGCCACACCTTGAGTACTGTGCTCAGCTCTGGGCCCCTCAGCTCAGGAGGGACATTGAGGGGCTGGAGCAGGTCCAGAGAAGAGCAACGAGGCTGGTGAAGGGACTGGAGCACAAGTGCCATGAGGAGAGGCTGAGGGAGCTGGGGGTGTTCAGCCTGGAGAAGAGGAGGCTCAGGGGAGACCTTCTCACCCTCTGCAACTCCCTGACAGGAGGTTGGAGTCAGGTGGGGATTGGTCTCTTCTCCCAGGCAACCAGCAGCAGGACAAGAGGGCACAGACTCAAGCTCTGCCAGGGGAGGGTTAGGTTGGATATTAGGAAGAGATTTTTTCCAGAGAGAGTGCTCAGACATTGGAATGTGCTGCCCAGGGAGGTGGTGGATTCACCATCCCTGGAGGTTTTCAAGCTGAGACTGGATGTGGCCCTTAGTGCCATGGGCTAGTGACCACAGTAGGGTTGGACTTGATGATCTTGGATGTCTTTTCCAACCCAGTTGATTCTATGATTCCATAAGTTTAAGTTCACTTTAAGAAGTCTCATTTGAAAACAGAACAAAGAATTTGAATAATAACTGCACATGAAGAACCAGAATACTTCTATTTGTTTACAAACTGAGAAAATTTAATTTAGCCAACAAATCCACACTGACTTAACAAGTGCCATGTAATTAGGAGAAATGATAAGCCATATACCTGTAGGTCTTTGTAAGTTCTTTTGAACCAATATCCTTCTCAGAGTACCATCCATAGATGACTCCTCTATGTGTGACCGATCCCCAATAACTGTCCAGTACATCATCCTTAAAGTATTAAACATAAAAATTATACAGAGCTTCAAACTACTTCACTGATACTTCAATATTTTGAGCCTTTCAACCTTCTTAACAGATGGGAGATAACTGATCCTGGTTTAAATACAGTTAAATTGAGCAGGAAACTTAAGTAAACATATTGGAAAAGTTTGGACATTTAGACAGTTGTAGACATCATTTTATTTCTCTTACTCTAGTTTGCAATTTTGTCTGAATGGAATAATGTTGAAACATACATACCCCTTTTTAGGATTTACAGCAATTGCATATGGTTCTCCTGCCATGCTTGTAAGGAGTCTGGTACAGTTTGGTCCCTTCAGTTGACCTACATTGATGGAGTATCTCAGACTAGTCCAATGAGTTGTGTAGTAGCTGAACCAATGCATTCTGGAATGATCAGTCCAGTAAATATTTCCAGTCACCCAGTCAACAGCAATGCCCCTAGGTCTTTTGAATTCTGGACACTAGAAGGAACAGATGTTGCAGTCAGATTAATGGAAATGATTGTTTACAGCAGTTGAACAGCCACAGATTCATGGAACTTTTTACAGTTAAGTGACTTTTACCTTTAATATAGTGAAATATTTAAAAACACTGAATTGGAAAGACGTAAACTCCTCCTGCAGAAGATCAGCTCTAAGTGATCTGCTGACAGTTCTATTCAATGGAGAAGAACAAGTCAATGCTTCAAAACTGTTCTCTCAAGTTTCTGGCTACCTATATTAAGGAAAAGGCACTTTGGCATCAACTACTTGAACTACTGACACTGAAGCAAATAAGTGTTAGAGACTGCAATCCAAAAGCAAAGGAAAAGGAAGTATTAAGGTTGTACAGCTGTTGTACTCCATGCAGAGCTGTGGTATGATGTCTAACCTCAAAGCCCTCATGGTCAAGACTGTGTGAACTCATGCAGAGGGTGGCTGCTCAGCAGTCTGCTGAGGGTAAATAAAATCACTGCATTTAGAAAACAGCATTAAATTTCCTCTGTGTTCTAGCCAATACTGGTATGCAATGGTAAGAAAAGTATTTTAATATTTCTCTTCCCATGTTGTTGACTCTTTCTGCGCTCAACCACCAATTAGAATTAGAATTAGGGCAATATTTGGCTTCACATGTAAAGAAACTTGACCAATTATAACATTAAATTTATAAACTGTAGTTTCTCTGTCATGATTTCACAGTTATCATGAAGGCCCAGATCCTAACAAATGGTCCTAAGGATTGAGGTTCATATTGCAAATAGGAAATATATATGAACAAGCCTCTCTAAAGTTTACTGGAATTCCTGCAGAAAGGAAAAAACCCCTGTAAAGTAAGATTACTCAACTATTTCTAACATATATAACAGCGTATCATAAAAAATTCAAGACCTGCATGAGCTAAATATATATACAGTTGTTTGCCTGTTTACCTATAATGACATCTAGTTACATTATGAACAAAACCCATCTATTCCTTGACAAATGAAGCAATGGAATGCAACTATGCCACATAAGTGAAAACTAGGAAAGAAAATCCTAATATAATTTGTTTTCCTCAGGTATCAGAGTTCCCCAACACCACAGGACATTTGTAGACTACTTTAATCATCATATAAAGGCAATTTTATTCTCTAGGTGAAATAATAGGACTGCAAGGATGAAATAGATAGTTCATTGTTCATAAACCTTTAATTTTTGCAAAAACATAATAGAATTCTTGTTCTATAGATATATAGAACCTTGATTTTTCTATTTAGGTCAATAGTAAAGCCATAAAATCAATCACTGCACATGGAAAACAGTATTTCTTTAAAAACAGGGTCACAGTTTTTAAAGTTAAACAAAATATCAAAATTCTTTGGTATGTAATGATGAAAGTTAAACAAAATAATATATCAAAATTCTTTGGTATGTAATGATGATATTGGCAGTGTGTACTCCCAGAAATACAAGAAAAATAATTCTTTTCAAGAAATGCAGCATTTGCATGCAACATCCTTTTCTTTTTCTTTGCTACTATCCAAGCAACATCCATTCGAATGACAAGATACCCAAAAACGTAGGAATTTTCAGATGAGAGTCATTGTATTTTAAATCCAAACTCCTTTAAATTCTGGGTAATATTCAGGCAAGAAGCCTCTCATTCCTAGAGATCTCCAGTTAATACTTTGGATACTGCAAAGGTTAATGGCACTGGTATACAAGGCTGGAATAGAATATTCTTTTAAAAGGAGAACAGCTACCATGCCCAACACAGTCTCTTGCCTTCTTTTTGGACTGTTCAAGACCCAGTTTATATTAAGACTATTTTTTTGGGAACCTGGAAATACATGATGACAGTTAGCAAGCAAAGTGTTTCCAAAGAGCTGGTAGTAGCAGCAGCAGAGACAAAGGGACATCCTCAAATGATTCTGGAACAAAGATGGGGTTGCTTAGTAACACTGACCCTTTGTCCTCAGCCATACAGGATAAACAAAATTCCAGTAATGCTAGAGTGCATCAAATGAACAAGGAGATCAGCAGAAGAAATGGCAAGGAGCCATCCAGTGCAAGAGATTTAAAGGAGAATTAAAAACACTAGCTGAAGTTATGGTTGTGTAATTCTCAGTTGTGTTCATTAGGTTTCAGCCCAGCTCCATCATATTTCTGAGGTCTTATGCATCTTCTCATACTGTCTGGGAAAATTACTGTAAATGAGCTCTTACCTAATAGCTTATTTGGATTATGCTAATTTTGAAGAATGATTTTGCATACAGAATAATGATGAAAATACAGGAAGAAAATCACGTTAATATTTTCTACAGTGATTTTAGACAACTTTGATGCTAAATATAATGTACTACACCTTATTAGAAAATTCAAGGTTTGAAGTCTAATTGCCTTTTACAGTTTCATAGCCTCTGCACAACCACAGATCATGTCAGCTTGATGACTTTTGACTAGAACTGCTGTCTATCACAAAACTTGTTTTAAAGGTAAAGAATTGATAAAAAAAAATTAGAAGAAAAAATCTGCAGTAACAGCTTAGTTTTGAAAACCATTTTGATATAATGGTACACTAGAAAAAAATATTCAGCCCCTAAAGCTGAGTTAGACTGGAAAAAATGTTACACATGCAGCA